CTGAGCGGCACGGACCTTCCTCGAGAGACACCCGGCCCCAGGTGATGGTTTTCAGCTTCCTGAACCACGGGAGAAGTTTTCCCCCGTGGTGCCACCCGTGTCGGTGCGTTCTGAAGCTTGGTTCGGAGAGGGGCATTTTCCCTCCCGCCTGCCGGGGAGGGTTTGTGCCGCTCTTCATCTTCCGGAGGGGCTCGTGGCCTCGCTCCGCCCGTTCATTTGAGAGCGAAACCGGCCGGGATTTGGGTCTGTGTGGTCTCTTCGTGGCTTACTGGTGTGAGCTGCTGAGTACTTCTGGTCCCCACTGCTGCAGCCTGGGCTCTGCGTTGGGAGACAGAGGTGCCCAGCCACCTGCCTTTCCACATGCAATGCTGGAGAATCTCTTCCCTAGCCCAATTAGCATCAAATCCCCGAGAAAAGCAATGAATAATTTTATTCTCTGCTCAGCGGCAACCCACGGGGCACCTTCGCGGGTGGCTGTTTCGAGACGCGAGGCGTAGCCTGCTTCGGGGGAAGTTCATCGTCTCGGCGCCGCGTATCACCGGGTGAAGAAGCCACGGCTCGTTATAGCCCGGCTTCGTTCCCTCTTGGTGGCTGGCAAAGCCCTGCCTCGCCTAGCCTGACCTCTTCACTGATGTGAATAATTCCTGTCCAGGCAAGAGCTGATTTTTTTTAATATCCTTAATTGGGATTAGGAAAATGGCAGCGGTGGAACGTCTGCTGCGGTTTTTTATTAGGTTCTAGCTCCTGCTAAGTAACCCAACTGAGCTAACATCCCTTACCTGTGTCTCCTGGGGTGACTTTGCTTCGTCAAGTCGTCATTCAGAGAGATCTCTGGTTCATATTTTGGTCAGTCGATCAACTTGGGGTTCCCCCTCACCGCCCTCCTCCTCTCGGGACGTTCCCAGCGCTTTCCTTGTTCCGTGCTGGAGCCGGATCATTCGGGCAGTGCCCGTGCGTGCGGGATGCGGCTGAGGCTTGGCTTTTTGGTGCGAAGCCTGATTTATTGCAGAGTTTTCAGGATGGGTTTGTGGGGGGCTGCTGGCGTGCTGCAGACGAGCAGTACGTCGTGGTGTCTCACCTCGAAGCCCTCAGCTACCTCCCTGCGGCGGTGTATGGCTCTGGAGAGTTTAAGGTGCTCTTTCTTCTCCTTTTGTGGAGAAATCAGGCTTTTTGTGGCGATATCCCACCCAAGTCTCACATTCTCCTGCCCTGCACGCGTCTTTTAACCTAAAAGCTCATGGGAGTTGGGCAGAGCCATCAGACTGCCGTAGTCGGTCCCGTTTCCCCGTGCTCCCGCCAGCCAGCTCGGGAATGGCGACTTCAGGAGCTTTCGCTGTGCCGCTCGTCCCTGTGTGCCCTGCTCTAGGCTTCGAAAGCCGTTTCTTTCCTCCCGGCGTCTTCTCCTCTCGTGGTGCTGGTGGGTGTCCTGGCACGATGCGGGAGGAAGCCGTTTAACACCGCCGCTCTGAATTCGGGATGCAAAGCCGAGAGCTCCTCTCTGCCGTTAAGTGAAATAATTGAAATAGCATCTTCGGAGTGGAGCGGTGCTCTGTGCCATCAGGACCCCGTCCAGGCCAGCTGCTATCGCTTAATCGACTTAAATAAATTAATGTGGGCGCGTCCGTCGGCCGCCTCAGTGCTCTGCAGAGCCCGTAGCGTCTCCCTGAGCAAGAGCGCGTCTCGGAGTTTCTTGTGCTGGGCCATCTCTGGGGTTGGATGTAAAAAGCTCAGCGGGATGTGGCTCTCCCTCGGCTGATTTCTTGCTGGGAGGACGACTCGGAGTCGCTTCCGAAGGCGTTTCTGATCGTCGTGCCGCGGTTCCTGCAGCGCTTCGCTTGCGGTGGAGGTGAGGGCTCGCGTGTTAGAACCGGTGAGAAAATCCACGTCTCCTCCTTCGGATTTCCTAATTAATCAATTAAGCGGGGATAATCTGGCTTCGTGTTGCAGACCAGCGAGCAAAAGCCTCGGTCTCTTCCAGTCTGTGCGGTCCCTGGGCAGCGATCAGGTCTGTTTTGAGTTACTTGCCCTGAATTTACCAGTTTCTTTTCGATCTGTATCAATCTGTGTGCACTTTAGGAGCCACGGAGCGGGAGTTGAGCTGTCGGTCTCTTCCAGTCTGTGCGGTCCCTGGGCAGCGATCAGGTCTGTTTTGAGTTACTTGCCCTGAATTTACCAGTTTCTTTTCGATCTGTATCAATCTGTGTGCACTTTAGGAGCCACGGAGCGGGAGTTGAGCTGGACAGCCGGGAGGAATAGAGGAGGTGCGTAAGAAAAAACCTAGATCTGAGATCTTGCCGATG